AAAACAAAAGAAGTATTTTGGAAATACCCCAACATTATCCTCTTTTTTTTTTTTTGAGAGACATGAATGTAACCCCTCGATTCCACCGGGTTCGTCTGCGTCGCGGTTTTGGTCCGGCCTCCTCCGGCGTCATACCCTACCGGGCGCGTTTCAGAAGCGGAGCGTCTTGCCTGCCGGCTCGCAGTTTTGGTTGATTTGGGCATATTTCCTCGACAGGCTACTTTGTACAGACAAAGTTAATAATAATTGTAATATTCCAATTATAAACGACATGAATCAAAGATGTGTTGCTGTATTTTAGTGTTAAAAAATGCATTCATCATCATAATTATTCTATATATATCATTTACACAGCGCCTGTAAACCGGAGGAGAACGCTGGCATTTCTCCTCCTACTTGAAAGACTACGGAGGGATAGGGTCTGCAAAATTAGTTTATTTTGTGGATGGGCCGGATGCTCTGACCGGTCCACTTCCTGCCCGGCGCTATGCAACGCCTCACATCGCGTCGAAAAATAGACTTGAATTCTATTTTGAGCGGAGCCCAGCGCCGAGACGCTTCTGGGACGCTTCTGAGCCGTAACGCGGCGCGCCTGGTGGAATAGCACCCATTGACTAGAATGGCCGCGACCTTTGCGAACGCCACGGCGCAGACGGACCCAGTGGAATCTACTGGTAAGCTGCTTCTTGATTGGTTGTTGGACGGCCACAAAGGGTTAATTTCAGTTTGACTCTTTTTTTAGAGCTGATATTCCTGGAGACCAGTGCTCTGACAGGGGAGAATGTCGAGGAGGGTTTCCTGAAGTGCGCTCGCATCATCCTCAACAAGATAGAGTCAGGTATGCTGAGTCATAACTTCTTAAGATCTGTGAGCTGGCACGAAGCCACGTTGATCCGTCTTCATTCTGCTCTACACCTTTACGTCTTTGTTGCTGACGCTCCTCCTCACGGTTCATTTCCCAGGCGAGTTGGACCCGGAGAGGATGGGCTCAGGGATCCAGTACGGAGACGCTTCGTTGAGGCAGCTGCGGCAGCCGAGAGGCACCGCCACACCCGTCAAACAGCAGTGTAATTGCTAGGGTTCGGGGCCCTCCCCTCAGCCCACAGGCCCACACAGACAGCACCCCCCCTACAGGTCAGTGGCATGGTCAACTCAGACGGCAGGACCTTTTAAATTAGAGACTTGATCTAAACTCTTTTTTAACCTGCAGTCTCACCTTCTTGTGCTCTCTTCTCCAGGTGGTTTTTGGTGTGTGTGACCCTTCTCTCTGCAGTCTCACACACCATGCATCACCTGGCAACCCCTGACCTCTGGTAAGACTCTCTACTTCTAACCTGAGGGGGGCCAGCTGTGCCCTTGTGTCTGCGCAGGGAAACCCCTCAGTGTGAAGACGATAAGATCACAAAGAAGAGAAAAACATGGTTTCCCTGTGACTTACCAGAGAAGGACGAGTGGAGGGTTGTGTGTCGGCTGCCCTGCTGTTTATCTGTGTGTTTTTCATTCTGGTTTTAGTAACACCGACATGCTTCATACCATTGCATATCATTGTTTCTAAAATATTATTGGTGATCTATTTTGCATACTCATTGTTCAACATATCTGGAATTGATTCATTATAACATCTTAAGAGTTTTTATATTGGTAAAGTCACCTGTTGATTTTTATTTGTTGTTATTGAACTGTAATGTTCGGCCTGTGATTGATGGTGATGTGAGTAACAGTCCAAACACATACTCTTAAAAAGTTAAACTGCACAGATTTTGATTAAGAATGAATGTAGATATTGAAAAGCAGATGCATCCCTTGTGACTGTCTGCAGCTTTTTCTGATCCAAATGGAAACAGTTGAGCTCAAACATGGTAATTAAAAATGTAAAGTCATACAGACCCAGATTTAGAGCCCTGCGTGTTTTACGTTGAGTCATTTGACATTTTGATTCGCATTAAAATGCACTATTGTGACATAGAGTGTTGGCCATAGTAATACACTTGATATTGTGGGTCTACAGTATATTTCCCCTACTCACCACGTCTGTAAACTGTGGAGGGGAAGCCTCCCATCCCTCCACACACTCCTGTGGCTCAGGTTTAAAGCACAAAAGAGAGGTTTTGCTCTCTATTTAACTCCAAAGTTCCCAAAGTCTGCAGCCTCAGATTTATCCCGTGATAAATTCCCAGCGTCTCTGGTCCTATCCCGGTGTAAGATTAAGAAAGGGTCATCATTTTTTGAAAAACTAACAATGCCTTTGACTCACCCTGCTGGGATATTTCTCCATTTTCTTTCCTTTTTATTCACGCTGCACATTCTGTGTCACGTCACAGGAAACCACAGTTGGTTTGCCTCAGTGACATGTTTGGGGAAACGTTCACTCTGCCCACTCAGTTCCCTCGTACAGACGGGACTATGTTTAATACAAGGTTGCGAGAGCGCCATGATACAAATCAGGATGCTGCTTGTTAAGTCGTTTTCACTTTTCTTTGTCAAGCAGAGAAGCAAATCGGTTCGTGTAAACAAATTGTCTTTGAGTTTCTGAGCCGTCCCAGATGGTGATTTCTCTTTAGAACAGACCCTGTGCTGCCCCAAAGGGAAGCAGGGAATTCCCCCTGAAGCATGGTTTCCTCTTCGCAGCACTGACAGCATGGTTTGTGGTGCTGTGGGAGGAGGTTGCCAGTCGATAACTTAAAAACATCCCGCCCAACTGTTGAGTCAAATGCACTGCTTCTGTCTGAACCGCTGACCCGGCCAAGAGGAGATCAAAACGAAAATATTTCTCACGTCTTCTCCTCAACTGTTAGCATATGTCCTCCCAGACCAACCATATGCGTTATAAGCCCAAGTGAGCCAGCACACTGAAGGGAGAAAGCGGGTTGTGCAAACATAAGATAGTGTCGGATATCAAGAGACAGGTGGTCAAAGATTTATTTAGTTTTCATAAAATATTGGCATTGGTGGAAAGTCTGTCTCCTTCTGCAAGTGCACTTTTACTTTTGAATGTTCATGTTTTGTTTATATGCTGCAACTCTAGAATTGTACATTTTATTTTACTTGAACAGTATACTGTAATAAAGATTTTAATTGTAGATGTTTTCATTTTTTGCTAAATAACAACTGAGTTTCTTGATTTGATTTCCTTGTTTCTGCTGGCTGCTGCTGACTGAAGTTTGTTTGTTTACCCTGCTGAGGTGTTTGTGGCAATGAAAGGATGTTCACTTCCTGAACTGTACAGCCATCAGCAGCAGGTCTGACATTCAACAGGTGTCTTTTTTGTATTCCCTTATCAAGTCCTAGAAACGCTGTTGAGCCAACTGGCTTTCTCATGTATGTATGTATTGTACAGTTCATTATCAAAATAGCCATATGATAAGAATCACTTCCTGTCTTGATTTAATCGTGATGAACGCACTCCTACTCAGTTGTTGCTTAGTAACTAATGTAATATAACCAACCCAAAAGACTACTGTACATCTCAAGTAACATGCTGTAAATAAGATTTGTCTATTGTCCATTAAGGGTGAGTGTTGCTCATTGATTGTAATGAATATGCAATTCCCAGTAAACTGCTTGTTTTTTTCAGTCCCTCCCTCTCCCTGTCTCTTGATGGTTCTATCTGTGTCTTGTCTCTAAGCAACTGCAGGTTCCTGTTAAAGTGCCCACTTGGCTGCCCAATGGACTTTAAATGCACCACATCCTAAATATATGTAGTCCTCACTTCTATATTTTAGCTCTCCTATGAGCAGTAACTTGTTTCACCTCAGGTTTATAGGCAGCTGACGTCACAGAGCCTGAATGTGACAATAGAGTCCATGTACGTGATTGATTTGCTTTATCTTCCATTCTTCAGTGGAGTCATTTCTCTCAAAGGCAGTCAGGGTAGGATATCAGAGGACTCATGAGATGAAGAGTAAATGTCCTCTGTGTCCAATTGTCTGGATTTATGTTCTCTGGTCGATGGAGCAGCAGATAGAGTGGTTTAATGTAGCCGGAGTGGATATATTGACTGATTTATTGATCATGGATAGGCTGTCAGAATGACCTCATAACCAGATTGCATAATTGACTGAGGCAGAGCTGATTGTATACCACTAGATGGTGCTAAAGCATTAAGATATATAAAACTATCCTTGCTTATTGCACTTGGAGCTTTAGTCAATCCTTTTTTTAGTCATTTAGAAAGCTGTTCTTGTTAAGCCGATTTTAAGGTAAATATTCTAACCAGAATGTATAGGATATTAACTACGTAGTTAACATATCATGCAGTAAAGTCTTATCTAATTTCCTAGCGATATATCATTAATTAGAAGCAGATATGGTTGATCATCATGTATCACTTCATTTGTTTATTTTTTATATTTACATATAATGGGACGCATTGTGGGTAGTTGAACCAGAGACAGAAATACAAACAAGCACACGTCTTCCATCAACAAACTCACAGGGGACAAGGAAGCATTACATATTTCACAATTGCCTAATGATTAAAAAAAAAAAATACAAAAGTCCAACAACAGTAACATTTGTAACCACCTTCGTGACTGGATAAAGTAAAATCAGAATATGACAAGACATTTCATATACATTGAAGTCCAGCAAAGAGAAATGCATAAAAGCAGCTTTTCTTTTCTCAAAGCTCATTAAGCTGTGAGGAGTATGTTAAAAGACAATTTGTTTTATGCAAAGGAATTATTGATTTCACACAAGTAAATACTCCTCAGATCTAGTGAGCGAGAACAACTCTTTCTGGAATGCATTTGTTATTTGTATAATATTCAACATACGCCAGATACACTGTACGTAAACACCACACAAAGCAAACTTCACAGTACTGCTTTAATGTAAAATACACGTTCTACTTCCAGGTCTTTATTTCCTTCTGATTGGGTTTTTAAGTGTGACCAACAAGCACCACGAGTAGCGTCAAATGATCACGGTGGTTTTCTACGCAGTGAAAACAATTACCACATCTGGAGCGCAGCTATCCGAGCTAACATAGGATACACTGCTGATCATTATGGGCCATGAGAGGAGGGCACGGGTTACCATAACACACCCTCCACAATGACACTCGTCCTGAGTACACTCCATTCAATTATCAACTTCCTGTTGAGGCCCAATTGCTCTGAAGGGCTTTCTAGTTGTGGTTTGCTTGCACTATGATCCAGATAGATAAATCTAATAGCACATCACTAACACAGTCGTTCTTTTTAGTAATGGCTGTTTCAGGCCGAGGTGCTTGTTAGTTACAGTAGTGTCATTAGATGAAGTTAATGTTAATAGAGGGAGAGGAGGAAAAGGCAGTAAACAGAGGCGAAAGATGTTTGTGAGATGCTAACATAATGAAAGGTTAACATGTTGAAATGTAGAGCCTCTTAACACTGGGGGACTTCATTAGAAATGCAGAGTACTGCAACATATAGAACGCTGTCACACACAGGTTACTGGAACTTCCGAATCATAAATCCATATGTAATCAATATTGTGCATTTCTATTTCTAAAAACAGCTGTCCTGAAGTTTTGAAAGAGTGAAGTCTGCTGCGTAGGGGCAGAACAAGGATTGGTGGGAAGGTAGGGAGAATGGTTTTCTGTATTTTACTCAAGCGACTGCAGCATGAGGAGCTGCTTGAGCACCTTGGTCTGACTGGTCTCCCTGATCTCTCCCGCCAGGAACATCTCGTCCACCACCGTGTAAACCTTAGAGGGACACAGGAAGTGCATTAGAGGGTGGACATGGTGATGAGGAGAGGATTCAGGCTACTAAAATATACAATAATACAAATGCAACATTTAGCATTGTTGGACCTGAAACCAAAGTGACATTATCTTCTTCCCTTCACATAGAAAGGTTTCCTGGAAACTTCTCATCACCTAACCTGTGGTCATCATTACTCAACTCCACCTTTGTGTCATCAAAACGACAATAGAACTGCTGGATGACTAAATATAGAGAGATTATCAACGTGGCAGATATACTGGGATGAATCAGTCCTCGCCACACACCTGACAGAAGAGAGGGGCTGAGCTTGAGCAGCAGCAGTAAATCAGTGAATTCAAAAGTAGGTTTTTCCTATTGGTCTGTGTGCAACGTGTCCAATGGGGGCGATGCTTGGTTAAAGTTAAGCATGTTGTTTAGACAAATTGTGTTATTAGTAAAAACACTATTGCAGTTGGGAAGGAGTTCGGAGATGCTTGTTGCTTAGCATTTCCCTCGATGCAAAAATATATATCCGTCCCTTATTAAAATGTGTTAGATGAATCTTTATGAATGACCGTTTCCATGGCAGTGTAATGAAAGGGACATTTTCTTATTTGCCGTTTGCACTCTGCGCTTTCATTCTTTCAAAGGCGTTTGATAAAATAATGTAATAATATCACAAATCATATAACCTTCCTATGTCCTTACCTTGTAGAAGTTGAACACAAGGTCCAATTCACACACGTTGTGGAAATATTCATTCAGCACCTTACAGGAAATAAAAAACATAAGACAAACATTTCATTTAATCAGCCAGGAAATGAAATACTGTGAGAAGACTTAAAGATGTATGGTAATAGTAGGACCTTAATGTAAGAAACTAGTACAGATATAAAAAGACACAGCTGAGTCAGCAGCAGATACCACATCATGACAATGTAAGAAGTACATTTCCACTAACTATCCCGAACAATTCAATGATTGATTCATCACGTTTCTACAAGATGTCATTTTGTGGTATAGAGTCATTTGCAAAGGCAGAACAAGTCACCCTTTCTTAAGAATTCGCTTAGCTAACCTGCTGTGAGCCTATGTGCAGTTCATCTCTGCTTATCTTAACATTGGTACAGTGACTGAAAATACATATATTAAAGCTTGTGCAAGCACCATTTAAGACTAGGGTGCATTTAAGAACAAACTCACACGAATATCTTTAGTCAAGCATTACATCAAATGACCTTCACCGTGCAGTGGATTGTAAAGATTTTACTGTTTGTCCCGGCCAAATTCAAACAGTACATCATACTGTTACGGTACGTCCACACAGCAGCTTTGAAAAAATCTTGAAAATCTTGGAGCTGGGCGTGTCTGAGAGCTTGGGGATTTTTTGCGAGCAACGCGACCAACAACCAATCACATGAATCTCCCGCCCCCGACATACAAAGCAAAAAACCCCGGGGATTTTATGCGAGCAATATATATATATATATATATTGCTCGCATAAAATCTAAATATCTAAATATATATATATCTATATATATATATAAACTCCCCAAACAGGCGAAAACCTACCAGTTTCACCCACTGTCTCTGCCACCTCCCTCCATGCCTGGTTCCTCCGGTTTGTATCCCAGTAAATAGTTCTGGTCGTAAAGAACCGGGTGATTTGCTACCGGGTAATTTCTCGTTTGGAATATGAGGAAATGAACTGCGGTCTGGCTCTCCCAGCTTGCACGCGGTTTGATTGGCTAGCGCTTGTACTGACGGAAATCTCAATAGCAAAGTAAAAACGCTTTTTAATGTAATAGTTATACTGACAAGGTGATTGATTGAATACATCCAATGATACTGTAATTAGGTGACTGTGGAGTTCTATTTCAAAACAGATTTGAACCATTTTTAAAATGTACACGATTATTCCACAGCAACAGTTTTGACACACCCAACTGCCCGACAAAGAGGATTATTTGAGATTATAGCCGTTTCTGGAATAAAATGTTTGGGACATTTCTGTCTTAACCTAGTTCTCTGGATGGGGGATCCGATGTTATTCAGAGGGAACTCTAAAATCCTCTCAGGTCATCAGAGCCGTTAGAGAAAAGAAAATGTGCCTGACATTTCAATCTTGGATGTATGGGGTTGGAAAAATTCTGCTACAGCAACAAACCCAGCATGATGGCATCAAGTCTGACTCTAACATTCAGTGTATTATGGTGGTGAGTAACGACAGGCTGCCGTGACGTGAAGGACAAATTATGACAAGACGCAATGATCAATACAAGAGATGTGTCCCCAGTGCAGGTCACTCAGCTTCTGAACGGAGCACTGGAAGTATGTTTTTTTCATCAAAAGCACTTCGTCATGGGTCGTTGGCACTGATGTTCGTACTAATCCACACACAATATATTTAGCTTCATGATTCAGTTTACCAAGGAAACCACATAAAAATGTCCCGGATCAGAATATTGCCATGGGCTTTTATCGCATGCCATCTAAAGTTATTTATGCTGTGACTAGCATTTAATTCAAGATAATACATTAATACAAATAGTTTTCTCCCAATATATCTGATGATAACTCGACTGATTTACTTCACTAAAACCTCATTTCACTCCCTATTCAAAGGATGGAAGAATTAAATGTTTAAATAATGAACTGCTATAACAAGGACTCATATGTTATTCCTGAAGTACCTGAGTATTATTAAGTGTGTTGTTCTTAATTGAAAGGGCATTAGCTTCAACATTTGAAAAGCTATGTCAGTGTTTGTGCAGTTGCTTTCATACTCAGGTAGTAATGATGATCGATTTGTTATTTTATGACTGAAGGCTTATTTCCGACGTCGCTAGACCTAGCATTATCTAACACTGGTGATCTAAGTCAATAATGACACACCCTGAACGTAGGAATGAAAAATAAATGTATTCTTTGAATTTGTAATAAAATATACTGTCACGCTAAATAGTTAAACTGTGACTCATCTGTTGGTCATGCAACAATCAAATAATAAGAAAAAGCTTTGTTTGTATCACAGTGATTAAGATGTAACATTGCACTACATTTGACTGCAGTGCATGCTTTCCACTATTATGCATGTTTGACATTTATGAGCTGCCAGACAAGAGTGCAGGGGAAATGCTCTGAAGGAAATCATTAACAGACATTCCTGTAAATAATCAGACCATGATAAGTAAATCATCGTAGTTCACTTACTAAGTCTATATATCATGCGTTGTGCGTGCCAGTTACCTCTACAAAGTTGTGGATTCCTTCGAGGTATGCCAGGTTGTTATCAGTCACGTCCACACAAATACAGAAGTACAGACCAGCGTAACGTCGGTAAATGATCTTGAAGTTCCTGAACTGTGAGAACAACACAGATAAAGCCAATTAACAACTTTGTCTCTCATATTATGGCAACAACAGCAGCTTTGCTGGGACTTAAGCTTCCCAGCTTTAAGGTAAAACACACCACAACTGAGGAACAAAATGCATAACAAAACCCATCCAGACAAGAATTTGATTTTTCTGTAGAATGCCACCAATTGTTTAAAAGTTGTTGTTATTTCGAATTGCTTTACAAAATGTTGAAAACATACTTATAATTTGTTGAAGTAGCTATTGGAAAAGGTTTATCATTTGGAACACACAGGAGTCACCAAATTATTTTACCGGGAAGTGGGCACAAAAGCGATGTTTACAACATTGTGGTTACAGTCAACATACTGTGACTCTTGATAGGATTTACTAAAAGTTCATGTTAAACTGAACAAAGTAACATATTGGGGCATGTCACATAAACATAAAACAATGCATGTATTCAAATTACACGGATTTATCCCATACCTCCACAAAGTTGGTGTGCTTGGCATCCCTGACCGTCACCACAGCATGCACTTCCTCGATCAACTTCTGTTTCTCATCATCATCAAACTGCATGTACCATTTGGCCAGTCGTGTTTTCCCTGCTCGGTTCTGGATGAGGATGAAGCGGATCTGTGAGATACAATTGAGAGAAGAAAAAAACAAACACAAAATGACAAAATTAGATTAGAACAGAAACAAACGACTGCAATATGTGTCCAATGTCTACGTGATTTGAGACAATTGATAAATCATCATGCACACCAATTAATTATTTGTTTCAAACACATCACATGAATTACATATAGGTATGTGTAAGGGTAAAACAGGGAAACTTATAACATAATATTTTAAACATTATCGTTAGGAAATGTATCTTACAAAATTAGGGAAGAAGAATTGTAAGAAAGGTGCGATGAAGCAAGATCAATTTCCATATTTACAGTTAAGACTATAATTAATAAAGAGTGAACCCTCTTTGGCAAATTATTTGTGTTGTTGACACCAGCACATTCCTAGGTCTACTCGTCTAATTTTACTTTGTTGGCTATTGGCTGTCCCACAGTTTAACGATAGAAGACTGTTTTGCAATAGCTATTTCTGAACGTCTAGCAGTAATTCTATGTCGTTTAAGTATCGTTAGCTAGATACACACCGGTACCGTTAGCCTTAGCTAAAGTGCAGCTAAACCACACCCATATATTTTGACAGCTTGCTTGTGAAGGAGACAAAGTTAAAAATGTTTGGCAGAAGACATCCTTTAGCTAAGCAGTAGTCGATATCTGAGATCAAACAGTGTGACTTCAGATCTGTGGCCTTCAGCCTGCTGAAGTGAGCTAAGTTACTAGCTAACGTTTTTTCCTGGCTGAATGAAGAGGTTATCTAGCAAACTCTCAAATGCTAGCAAGCTAGCAATCATACGATACTATTTTGGAAAGAAAACAGCGCAGCTTTCAATTGTGAGATACTTACCATTGTCAGTTCCTAGATATGGTCCCAGGAGGCGACAGAATAGCGCGTCTCTAAACAATTACGATACGATTTTACATAAATACATCAGTAAATTATTTGACCGCTCTTCCAGCTATCTTCCCGAGCTAAACGGAAGTGCAAAACTAGGCAAAGTTGTGTTGCATGATGGGGCATGTAGTTTTTGTCGCAACATTTAAAGCCAATAGTTCGTTCCATGGAACTACAAGAACCAGCGTCCCTTTCACTTTGTCGCTTGTTGAGACGTACATCGGATCACATGACAAGAAAAGGGCCACTGCTGTTATTTTATGTAGCAGATAAATGATGTCTAATCACACATTGATTATGGGATAATGATTAAAAACATATGGGTGACTCTTGAAACTAAAAGGTGTTGTTCAAATTCAATATCTAAACGCTTTTTCCGCTTATTACTTTTAGAATTGAAGACGTTATGTTTGATTTAAGCAACTTTGCTATCTTCGCTTTTGACTAGCTGCTATCCATTGTTGCCTGATATTACATACTTGTACATTCACTGTGATTAAACTAATAACCCTTTATGTGTCATAGTTTAATAGACAACAGCGTTTCACTCACTACCATAGGCCTACTATAAACGACAATTACAATAGAGCACTTCTAAGTCTAAAGTCTAAACTAAAGCATGCTTACTGTGTAAAGTTGTTAAACTGTACACAGGTCATTTAAAAATAAAATATCTAAACAGGGATTTTTCCTTGAGTTTAAGTATTTTCACAGTGTTGTATTGCTACTTTTCACTTAAAACAATCGACACAACTGCCTACTGTATGGTGTAAAATATTGACTTGTGTATGAATGCATACATCCCTTTAGTAGCCTACATTGTTTACCCTCAACAATACACTTATGTACTGCCATTATATTGTTATCCATGTCACTGTGAACTGTGTCCTCAATTAATTTATCGTTTATTAGAAATTCATGTTAAGAATGCCTTTTACGATTTGTATGTGGAATTCACAAGCTTCTCAGCACAGGGAATATTCAAATAAAAAACCTCCCTCACCAGCTGCAACATTGAAGTGTTGAACACATTATTGGATCAATAATTTTAAATGAATTGGCCATTATGTCAAATCATTACTTTTACCTTTTGTAATTATATTTTCATTACAACGCTTTCGTGCAGGACTGTTAGAGAATGTCTACACTGTGATAATATTTAGGAAAATATCAGAATATATGGTACACCACTTAATAGAGGAATGTGAGTTTATTTCAAATGCAATTCAGTCAAACCATATTTATCAATTGGACAGCTTTGGGAAATGAGCTGTTTTTCCGTTTTGTGGTGTGTGTTTGCATGTTCCTGTTTCAGCTGCCAGAGGGGAGTAGACTTGGTTTTGAAGAGGTGGTGGGCAGGGTAAGCTGGGTGGTATTGGAGGCCCTGCCCCGACATCAAGCCTATGTGTATGCTACCACATTTGTGACACACCTCAGAATAATTTTTAAAAACAATACAGAATGAAAAAAGTTGTTCTACCGGTTATATTTCCACCCTCTTGAGCTTACATCATTTGTGGCGGTTGTTTTCTGCAGAGTCAGGGCTCAGAGTTTTGTTTACTGGTCTGTTTGGGCAGCCTTTCACCGCAGAACATTGCCCAGACAGCTTGGACAGCTTGCCTCTCTGAACGTTTTGGGCGTTAAGGGAGTCAGAGGGGGATGGGGGGACTGTGATTGTCAGGGATTGCACAACTGTGAGTGAAGGAATGTGCTTGCCCTTGGGACCCAGAAATATTCCAGCACCAAATACAAAGACAGTTTTCCGGACAAATACATCAAATATAAGGGAAAATCAACAAACCCATAAATGAAGAGTGTTTCTACAATATGTGTTGGTATTTACAAGGTAATAACAGCACAACAAATGATGTTTTAATTAAATATGTCAAATTACCTTACATAGCCTATCATAATTTAATAGCTACATTAGCAAAAGTGTTAAGATAGTGTCCAGCCCATGAAAAACAGTGGTAGGAGAGAGGGATTATTCAAAGGAAACTTTGACCCCTACTAATCTTACTGTGTGTTACTGGGGTCATGTAAATATTGCTGAGAACACATTGACTAATGTGATTGGACAGAAGTATGTGGACTTTTTCAAATGGAGGGCAGTGCACCTTGAACCCTGCCTGACTGTGTATTTAATGGTGAGTCACATTTAAAGTGGTCAAAGCACTCATAGTGCCTTTCAATATAATTTGACATATTATGTTTTATTTATAGAAACTTGCAAATAAGTTACTTATGTCTTGTTTTTAATCAACAGCCCAGGAAGTTGAATTTTGCAAAATCTTGTACTTTGACTGTTAATAAGATGGCAAGACTCTAACATGTTATCTGTGTGTCATATTCAAAATCAACAAATTGCCTTTACAGAAGTATTTGTTTTCATGCCCGGCAGAGTTAAGATAGCCAGATACTATTGCATGTTTGAGGAAGGAATATGTGGGAGATTGCCAAAGCAAAAACACTAAGCATTTGTTTGAACTTTTAGGACAGGCAGTTTGTTTTGTAAAACATGGCAGACACTTCTCCAAGTATGTATTTTTAAGGAAAAATAAATCTTCCATAGGAACTGAAATGTTTTATTATGTCTTGGCTGAAATCATCAAAGGAAGGGGTTATTTAAGTGAGTCCTTCGCCAAGAAGATGACTCTGAAAAATTAAGACTAACCTTCAAGATGATAGATTTTCCTTGGGTGAGGAATTCACACATTTTTACTTGTTAGCCACATGGCATTAAAATCTATAAAAGGGTGACAAAGGGACAATAGGTTCAGTCATGAGACAAGGGGCCAAGAGGCCAAATAGATTAAAATAAAGTAAATGAATTACATTTATGGTGACATGAAGACCTGTAGCTCGGAAATAATGTCGCAACACCATATTCTAAGAAGAAGAGTTTGATATCAATGATGTAGCAGCAAGTAATTCTTGTATTAATATAGGCCCAGGATAAAAAAAACTCAGTAATGTATGTAATCAGTGTGACATTGATTTAAAAATATTTAGTATACTGACAAGTAAAGGCATACATTTCTTCTAAAAGAACAAATGAACTAGCAAAATGTCTCAAACTATCAGCCGAAAAAGTACTCAATACAGAATATGGCTCATATCAGGCTGATATATACAGGGTTGGGCACTTTAAAAAACAGTTTATCATATGTTGCATTCCATAGAACGACTGTCTTTAAAACAGATACTTTACAAGATGGACGAAGTGGATAACATAAGTGTGAGGAAAATTAAACGGCAGATTTTTATTCTTCCCATATTTACCTCTTTCTTTCTTCTTCTCTCTCCTTTTTTGTTGTTGTATGCTTTGATATACATGGACAAGTATATTCTCAAATTCCACACAAAGAACATTGATTGAATGATGAATCATCATTCATCATTGATTGATGAACATTGCTGTGGATGTAATTGCTGGCAACAATGTGATTTATGTTGTTGTTATGATATATAAAAAGATAATATAAACATATGTAGCCAATGTATTGTCTATCTGACAAAGGTAAAGGCTATGATACAAAACAATCAACAAAGAGAAGACATGTTTAAGAAAAGTATAGCTTTCGGAAATGTAATGAAAGTATAGTGTAATATAATGAAAGTACTCATGTTGAACTTGAAGTACCTTAAAAACGTCTATTTACATGTTTGATCATTCTTTAAAGAAGCGTGTTTGTGTGTGGTATGTTATGTTGGAGCCGTTATATTATAGGAGGGCATTCTTGTTAATTCATGTGTCCCCTGATCATTGAATAAATACAGCAAGTGACCTAAAAGTAAAGAGAACAAGTAATATGCAGAGGTGGAAGAAGATTATTTTGTGCTGTGTAATCTGTTAGAAGTAAAAAATTCCTGCATTCAAAATTGTGGCAGAATTGGCGATTTCAGGCACCATATATTTTTTCATTATTATTTTTTCATGATTGGTGCATTCATGTGTTCATCAATGTAATGTTGCACTTTGTAAAGGTGAGATTTATTTGAATTTCTTGATACAGTGGAGTAAAAGTACTAAGTAGCAAATTAATGAAATAACAAAAGAAAAGTAGCTACATTTTTTAATTAAGTAGTTGAGTAATATACTAAGTTACATTACACCACTGCTCATATGGTGTGCATAAAACATATTTCTTCTTCATTTTTCTGATTATTTTGCACATGTTAAATTCCTATATGTTCTTTATATTTAATCCATTCTAAGAATCCCTTGATAAACATTGTGAGTCTGTGTTGTAATTGTGTCCATGAACCGCTGGGCGAGACTCTCTCTCTCTTTCCCTCTCTCTGTGTGTGCGTGTGTGAATAGGAGGGGAGATGCTGGATTCGGGAAAAGGTCCGCCATTATTGGGAAGCTGAAAAAAATAGACTTATACACACTCACACACATTTCGCCTGTAAGGGGCTAAACCTCCGAAAGGAAAATACAACGGTTTCGGACGAGCTGTTGTTCTCTGAAACGCGGCGCTTTGAAAAAATGAAGGCAAAGCTCACCATCGCGTTTCATACGGACTCTTTTTATTTTTGACACAACAAAGGAAATAATAATTGGTCAAAACAACGTGGTGGTTGAAGCAAGAAGGAAAAAACACACCGAAACAGCGCTTTTACAACGCCTCCCCCTTTCCTCCTCGTTTCCAGCCGGGGTGAAAAGACTGGAGTTTGAACAGCATTTCTTTGCTTTTCCTGACGATAATTTAGTTGCTTTTTCTCCTCTTCAAAGATACACAGATATGCATCTCGTTGTGAAAACTTCAGACTGATGGAAACGAGCACTTAATGTAGGAAGCAATGGACATATAGGCTGTTTATTTAAAACGACGGGCAATAATCGATGTCAGGGCTGTAGGGAAGTGTTTTTGTCTGGTTTTTTTTAAAGTCTTTCACCGGCTGTGAGTCGCAGAGAGAAAAGAAAGGAGTGGACGAGAGCTGGAGAGGAAAGCTATGGTATGTATGCTGCACACTATTCTCTTCTACCACTGCAAATAACAGACGCGAATGGACCATTTCAAACAATGTTGAACATATATTTTTAAGGCGTTTACCCCCTGCCTTAATTGTAGCTCGTGTTACTTAGAAGTG